CGAATGCTTTACCTCTTTTTAGCTTAAGGATTGCATTTACTATTACTTCTTGCTCTATAACCTCCAGACTATCTGGAATATTGGTCTCTTGTTCTTGGCAATGGTCTGTTTCTGTTTCTGGGTTTTCGGAGAATGGTTCCTGAAAATATTGCTTTCATCTGCCAAGGATCTTTTCCTTGTCTGTAAATACGATTCCATCGCTACCTTTTATATTTCTAATGGGCTTGCATTGATTTCCTCTTAACATCTTAACTTTTCGCCCAAATGTTATAGATTCGGGATGGTCCTCGCTCATTCTTTTACCAAAATCCTCCCATGACTTTTTCTTGGTCCGGTGTATGATTACCTTACATTCCTTCTTGGCTATTCGATAAACGTGTAGCTTTCCTTCAGTTCTATCTTTAAGGTATTCTTTCCAGGCAAGCTTCTTCTGAGAAACCAGTCGTTGGAGATCATTGGTCCACCAGTCTGTCCGCTTTCCCTTACCAAACACTCTCTTTTTCCTACAGACTGTATTTGCTGTTTTCAGCATAAATAACAGTTTAATAACCAATAGTCGTACAATCCATAATCAACGAATCATACAATCCATTATCAACCGGTGATATAATAAATAGGACTTTTGTCATTTCAATGGTATTTATGATTTGTTTGCTGTAAGCTTTTAGCTTTAGCTCCGTTAAAAATGCAATTCAAAAATTTTATAACAGCCCATGTGTAGAATAGAGCTATATGAAAATTAAAATTTGTATATATAAGGATATTTAAACAAATAAAAATACTCACAATGAAATGTAAATAAATTTTACTTTCGATTCCCCCTTTCTGCTAAGAGGGTGGTAAGTGAAAAGTCTTGTGATGCGCGCACTAAATTAATTAAGTATTTCAAAAAAGTATATCTGATAAGTTTTCTGCATTAGATTCAATCTTCGCTATCAATATTCCCTGATCATTTATTGCGGCTAAATATTTTTCACTAGAAAAAACATTAATAAAAATAAAAATTTATGTATTTTCACGCTTCGCAATTCATGGTTTGATCCACTAGCGGATCCAGGATTTAATTTTGAGGAAGGGGGAGCTTCAGCCCGAAAGCTTTTTTTTCATAAAAATAACGATAATAAGTTTGGAAAAAAAGAGAGAAACTAACTACCTGTATGAAATGGTGTTTAAGTGATTCCTAAAGTCCTTTTAAATGTAATTACACGAACAGTAATACTTTAAGAGATCATTTTTTAATATTTTTTTCATTAAAACATGGTTATATTTTACCATTTTTGGCCGACCTCCAGATTGAAAACGCCCCGAGATTGAAAACTCCGAGAATTTTCGTAAATAAAATATTTGTAGGTTACGATGAGATGAAGCTATTTACACAGTTTCAGCCGGATGTTAATAATTTCATAAAAAGGTTTCTGTACCACGGACTATGTGACTTAGAAAGAAATAAAATTTCCGACCAAAAAATCAAATACATAGTCTGGTTTGTTATGCGGTATGGGTATAACTCATTTCCCTGCTGGGATTAACTAAATATCCAAGTTTCCTTTGAGAATGGTAAAAAATACACATAAAGTTATATTCTTACTTTTATATTGTGGTGATATTAGTTTATAAAAGCCATTTTTGACCATTAGTTTTTTTACTATCAATACCTGTGTCGTATTAGGTGTTTAAGTGAATGGTTACCGATAATTTGAATGGTTACCGATATATTATAAACAAACTAATTGGTCAAGGTGCGTACATACATTTCACAAACTAGGGGACAAACAAATATATAAATGGTCATTTCATTATTCTAGTATTTTTGTTTATAGTTTTTTATATTTTCCTTCTGTTGTTGGTATGAATAGAAATAAAATAAATAATTTTGTTTATAAAATAAATAACATCGCTATTAATTAAATTACATAATTGGGCTTCATGTATTTTTTGAATTACATAAAAACATCTTAAATAGTATTTTTTTATTTATCAGTATTGCCAATTTTACTCAGAAAATCATGATTTATTTTTTTTTACAAAAACCTTATAAATTAGATTCGATTAAAATTTATTTTTAATTTGCTTTACTTTTTATAATGAAAAAATATGTGTATCATAAACAGCTTTTATCTGCCTTAATGTTAATGAATTTTGTTATATGTTTTTCTTGGTTCTTGACTCAAATCATTTTATTGGGTCAGATTGCAAGTGAAAAATCTTAAAATCTATCTATATTGCTTTATTCAATAATTTTAAAATCAACTATATTTAATATACAATAGTTTGTAAATCGTGATTAGTTAGATAAAGTTATTTAAAGGATTATTGTTCCTTAGATTGTTGCAATTATAAGATGACCCGCATTTTTCATATTGACCAAGTGAAAATTTATAAGTATAAAAAAAATCTGGTGCGCTCAACACACAACTTTCACTTACCGCTTAACTTGTTGGATTATTATAAACATTTTTAATTGAATTTTCAACCAAGCTAAAGCTAAAAGTTTACAGCTAACAAATCTTAAATACCATTGAAATAACAAAAATCCTATTTATTATATCACCGGTTGATTACGGGTTGCACGATCCGTTGATTATGGATTGTACGACTATTAGTTATTAAACAGTTATTTAACATTGCAAAGTTTGCTAAAATTGAATTAAGAGATTTATATTGTCTGTCATAGACAGGTCAAAATTGTCCACACTAATTGGAAGTGGATACTGTTGGAATATCACAAATGGAGAATTCATCAAATTATTCATTGATTTAATTCTCTAAGAGGTTACATGATAATTTTTCGGAATAAGATACCTAATTATTTAAATATAATATCAGATCTAGAGTTATTCAAGAACTCTAACAAAATACAGTAAATATATTTAAGGTTATAAACATATCTATGAAATATTTTTATAGTTCAATTCTTCTTTCACACAAGTAGAATGAAATAGTATCTTAAACAGCGTCATTACCTTGAATCCGTGAATTTCAAATACTTTTTCAAACTAAAAAAAAAATGTTAAAAGTTGACATTTAGTAAGAAAATTTCATTTAGTTTCCTTGAAAACACATTTAGTTTTAAATAATGTTAGTTTTTAGAAATTATTATTTATATTTTTTTAGCCATTCTCCATTACCTTCTACAATTTTCTATATTAGATATTGTTTTGTTTTTTTCAATTCTACAAGTATACCTTCTGGCTATTATTTCCGGTCTACGTATATATTTTTCTTTTTTTTTCTCGTATATTCAATTCAATCAGTAACTGTCAATAAAGTTATATTCAAAAGTTATATTTAGCATTTTTTTCATAACTCCTAACAGTGAAAAATAGTTATTGTTTATAATAAACAAAATTAAAGGAACTTTAGAGGAAGATGCGATAATTTTGGGATTTCACAAAGGAAAAATTCAACAAATTACTCACTAATTTAATTTTTTTTAAAGTTACATGACGATTTTTCCTAATAAACGGACGTTTATACCTAATTATTGAAATATAATATCAGATATAGAATTATTAAACTACAGTAAATGTATTTAGTTTTATACATCTATGAAATGTTTTTATATTTTACTTCTTTCACACAAGTACAGTGAAATAGTTTTTTAAACAATGGCATTGCCTTGATTAGGTGGATTTTAAATACTTTTTCAAACTTAAAAATATTTTAAAAGTTTACATTTAGGCAGTTAATTTCATTTAATTTCTTTGAAAACATGTGATTTACGTTAAATAAAGTTTTCAAAAATTATTATTTATAATTTTTTCATCACTCTCCGTTACCTTCAACAACTTTCTGTATTATATAATATGCTACTTTTGCTAAAATTCTCCGCTTTCCAACGTTATATTAAACGTATACCTTCTGACTAGAATTTCCGGAGATTCATTTCCGACCTGAATAAGCATTTTTATTTATTTTTTATTCTTTATTCAACTATCAAATGTTATATTTAACCATTTTTTATTTGATATTATTTTTTTTTCTAAAATACTCCGCTTTTCAACGATATATTATACGTATACCTTCTGGCTGTCATTTCCGCATATTCATTTTCAACCTGGATAAGCATTTTTCTTTTTTTCTCCAGTTTCCAATTATCATATTTTTTAAAACTTCATATTTAGCCATTTTTTATAGTAACTGTCAATAAAAGAGAGATCATGTTTTTAAATAAACCATATTAAAGGTACTTTAGAGGAAGACGTATATGAATATAGGGCATTTAAGCCCTGTGAATTGACATCAATGGGGATAGTACCTAATTCATATTGAAGACCGCTAAATAATACAATGTTAAACCGAGTTTAATCAAAATCGTTTGAGCCGTTTTTGAGAAAAATGTGTTCACCGTTGATATAAAGTCGCACTTCCGGTTAGCCGATTTTAAGGAAAAAGTTGTTGTAACATCTGAGTCATATACCTATCTTAAATACGTAATTCGTATGACTTTTCGTTTTTTAGCTAGAATGCTGACAGACACACACACACACACACACACACATACAGACCATTTTGAAAGAGTTGGTTATTTGGATTCAGGAGACCTCAAAACATGTATTTCCGTTGAAAACCTAGATTCCAAAATTTCATGATCACAATACTTGCCCTTACTATATATTTCATATATAGGTAAGTGAAAATAAAATCTATAATAGTATAATAAAACTAATTACATTGCACTAAAAATTTTTGTTATTTCTGAAATTAAAGATTAAAAAGAAATATTTAATGTACTTATCAATATGTATTAAAAAAGTATATATTACATGTTGTTATTTAAATGGAACCAATAGAAATAAAATGTTCTCCTGTGGAGTATGGTTTAAATGAATCCATACAGCTTATTAGATGTAACTATTAAACTATTGTTAAGGTGATTAATTATAATACAAAATGAGATAGAATATAATTAATGTCTGAAATGACTGAGCATTTATTGAAACAATAACTTGATCGAGCTCCTCTTCTTAGATCATTTTATTATCTTACCTTTCTGAGGTCACACATTCTATTCCATCTAGGGCTTATGTTTAAAGTGTAATAGTAACTCTTCAAGTTTATGGTTTATGAATATATAATGACTTGAATGAACAATTCAATGAATGTATTGTAAAATATTTATACATTTTTAAGCTGTTTTATTTAATAAGAAGAATAGTGAAATGGCTACTTTATGGCAATATTTATTGGAAGTTTATGAAGATGTCGTGGACAAAAATGCTGGTAATGTTGAAAATATATTCTCCCAATTCGAATCAGTTAATAGTTTATTTTATGGATCTGTTGATGTTGAAACGCTCTCAAAAAAATATATATTTTATGTAAGAGTCCTTTTTAGAAAATTTCCAGTCTGAGAAAAATCAAACTTTGTGTTTAATTTAAATAATATTAATCTTAAAAAATAATACAATCTATTAAGGGTTTAACATAAAAAGAATGAAAATTTTATTGAAATCAATAAATTTTTACTAAATAATGAAAAGTATCATTTTTCAATATATAATCAATTAACTTATTATAAAAATGATATATTTTTACTCCAAATAAAATTATAAATAATTTTTCAACATTTCTTCATATTTCTGTTGGCTGGTTATTCTGATTAATTCCTGAAAGAAATTTTTATGCTAATCATATTATTGGTTGATAAATATTAAGAAGATAATTGCTGATTTACTCTTCATAATTTTTTTTTCAATCTTTTTTTTGTTGTTTAGATATTTGCTGATTTATGCTTCATATTTTTTATTTATTACTCCTAAGATGAATTTTTTGGAACATTACCTATGTGTGTGGTGTAAATTTGATATAAAACTTAATTTAATAAATTTATTATTATTCTGTGTTTTTATTTTAGTTCATATGTATTTTGTTGAATTATAAAATAGTGATCATTGAATGTTAATACCTCTGGTGTGTTCTAAAGAATTGAAATTATAAGACTTCAAAATTTTGCATGGCTCTAATGGAGATTATTAAAGTTCTAATTAATAATTTAATAATTAGTAAATTGTTACTGCCTTATAGAATTACATTTATTCTTAAACTGTGATACAAACAGATAGATTGTCTGTATACATTTTCTATTATTGATAAAGATTTTATCAATATTTTGATCTATTTATTAATTAATCTTTTATTTCAGATCCAAGAGTCGTTAATTTACCTCTTATTTCCAGTCCGTTTCCCACTATAGCCATTGTTATAATATATAATTACTTTGTAAATAAATGGGGACCTCTATTGATGAAGTCAAGAGAGCCATTTGAGCTGAAAAATGTGATGATTTTATTTGACATAATACAAATTATTTTAAATATTTATTTGTTTTGTATGGTAAGTACATGCCTCATTAATTTATCAAGCATATTTAAGAAAAATTATAACTTTTAGCTTATTTTTCAATATAAATATAGATGAAGGGTTCGGTGGATGATAAAGGTAGCATTTTTGGAATTTTAAGAAAGCTAAATCAAAGTGATTTGTATTCTTTTTATTCATTATAAGGCAGAGTATATTATCATTTAGCACCAGTATGAACTCAAGTTATGAACCGAATATTGAATTTATGTGAATTGAAAGGAGGGTCATTCCATTTGAAATCATCCAAAACACGTTGCTCGATTTTCATGATTTGTTTACCAGTTATTCCTTATTTATTTGAGAGTTCAATACCATTGTAACAAAATTTTAAAGCTCACAGTTTTTTCTCAGCAGCCATTTTTAATTTCCTGAAAACATGTTTTGGGAAAATTTTTAAGTGGGCATATTTTGGCAGATTTTTGAGGGAGACAAATTTTGACGGGGTTATGAATTTCCGACCAAGGGATAAGGGGAAAATATGGAACAGATCGCAGCAGGTATAATTGTATATGATTTACGATTTTTCTAATTTTTTCTTAGGTTGCTTTGTTTTTAAGAAAAAGTGACTAACAAAATTCCTTGAGAGGAATTGGGAGGGAGGGGAAGTAGGTTCTTGAGCCATTCATCTTGGGGGAGGGGAGGATGTTTATCCCTGACTGAAACTCAAGTGGTTTTATGAGTTATAGCGCAACAAATATTGCTGCCAAGGGAGAGTTGGTATCAGCGTGTCCTATCTACTCTAACTCAAGCGTTTTTGCAGATATCAAAGCAAAAAAAAACTAAATTTATTACGATGTTTACTCTAAATTTGTTGTCCTCAATACATCCCCTTAGTAGTGGGGAAAGTTTTTAAACAAATTTATAACTATAAAATAAAAATTACCATAAAACAAGAGGTTTAGTAAAGTGTAATAATGAAAAGAGTTTCAATTTTAATTTTTTCTTTGTATATAGTCCTATCATTGTACTACTTGCTGATGAAATTACAATCTTAAAAATCTTGTACTTTTTCAGATATGAATTTTCAAAAACAGCCAAAATTCATTTTTGGCGTTTTTGAATTTGAATATCATTAAAGGGACTGAGTGGAAAATTATGAAAATTGTATATTTTATGACCTTTTTGTAGAATTCTAGGATATGTATTGTTCTGCCATGTCTTCCCCATTTCTGGCATTAAACTTATGAATTTCTTTTTTTTTTTTTGGCAAAGTGGGTGTACCTGGTATTGAAACCTAATTCATGGATTGTTTATAATGTGTTGTAATTATAGAGATGGATATGCAGATCACAAAAAGCTTTTCAGAGTGTAAGATATGAAATAAATAATAATACTCAGAGAGACTGTAATTGGTAAAAAAATCCTGATATAATTAATAAATCAATAGCTTTAAATCATATTTCCTACAGTCTGTAATTTTTAATTTCACTTCTATTTTTTTTTCTCCCCTCTATCCTAAAGGGTCATAGGCGTTTTCTAAATTTATATTCTGTTTTAATCTTTAAAAATTTAAACGTGATAGAGACTAGCTCTTCATTATCCTGTAGAATATCATTTAGTGTTTTTCCTAGATCTATTTTTTTTCTGTGGTTTCAAATTGGGGACACTCTACCAGAAGGTGTTTCACAGTTTGAGGTGTATTATTACATTTTTCACAAGTAGGAGCTTCTAGAACTCTTAAAAGATAGCTATGTGTGAACTGGCAGTGCCCAATCCTAAGATGGCACAGTATAATTTTTTCACGCCTGGAACTTCTGGTGCTAGTGAGCCATTTATCGCAATTAGATTTCACTTCTTTCAGCTTACACTCTTTGATCTTAAAATCTTTTTCTCACTCTGCCAGTTTTTTTTTTCTTTGTTAGGCATACCCCTGTCTTTTAAAGTGATATATTTCAATCTAGTCACTGCCTCTTCTTCTCCTCCACTTCTTGCTAAATTGGCTGCATGGTCAGCTTTTTCATTCACTAAAATTCTGCATAAATTTCACCCTCTATAAAGTGGGTTCTCTTGATTAATTAATTGGTTAAGAATAAAAAACCTGGTGGTTGAGCATGATATCAGTTATGTCACCTCCTTGTACAACCGCTGAACAAGTGATGGCGTCCGATTAAGTACTGTCGTACTTCCTTACAAAGTACTGAACCCAAGTCCCTTCATAGGTTGCGGTGGTACAAGCCTTTTTTATTTATGTTTTGCCAAAATGAACGAATAACCACATTGTGTACATGTCTATCCATCTATTTTTATTTAATATTTTACTATCTATGTTTTGTTTTTTTCACTAAATATACTGTTTTCTGTATTCATAAAAAAAAAATAGTAATCTTTAATTGTTTTTTTTTCAGTGTATTAAATTACCTTTTATTGATTTGAGTTATAGTTTAATCTGTGAAGAAGTTGATTACTCTGATCATCCAACTTCTCTATCTGTAAGTTACATTCCTATTACTCTTTTCTGTAATTTTACTCTTGTTAACTAATATTTCTCAATAAATTTAATTACACATGGTTTTTTATTTTTATTTTTTACATGTAAAACAATATATAGCTAATAATAATTAAGAACCTCAGTAACAGTAATAATCCTTCGTTATTATAGTTTGGACATTGTTATATTTTTGATAAAACTACTGTTACCAACTTTAGATTGTTAAAGAGATAGATAGTTAAAAGACAAGACTATAACTAATCTATCCTTGGCATACGAAGTTGGGACCTTACCAAGCAATGGCCATAATTATTTTTTTATAGTTAGAATAAATTATACATAAACATATTGAGTTTATTTATGTCTTAACTATTTAGCTTTTCATTGATTTTGACATTGATAAAAGTCAAATTAATACTGCATTATAATGTATTCTTTTTTATTTTAGATCGCATTTAATGTATGGATATATTTTATGGTTAAAGTGATGGATTTGCTAGATACGGTATGTTTTTTATGAACAAGTAATATGTAGCTAATTTTTTGGTAAATATTTTGTAAACTATTTTTAACAAATGCCATTTATCAATCTATAATTGTAACTTTAATAGGTTTTTATGGTGTTGCGTAAGAAAGAAAGACAAATATCTTTCTTGCATGTGTATCATCACACAGGAATGGTTATGAGTGGCTGGATCGCAACAAAATATGTACCAGGTATTCCATATTTTTAATTTATAAATAACGTAGTTTAGCCAAACCCTAAGTGTTTTTTATATAAGTTTGAACTTTTGATAAGGTATGATATGAAAATTGTTTTCAATGCTCAAAATGGAGCTGCTACTTAATATTTATTTATTATTACTTGACAGATAGATACTAAGCTTCAAAAATAGGAAACAAATTATTTCCTACAAACACATTAAAGAAGGAGTTTTAGAAATAGAAATAGAAAAATCATCTTTATTCTGGGACTAGGTCCCTTTAGAATAACAGTATTGTTCATATATATTTTATATAGATGGTATGGTAGAGTTTTACTGGGACCATTCTATTTTAATATCTTCACACCAGACTTACCATGAACACACATTACAGGATATATAAATTTTCCAAATAGAGCCCTCCTCAAGTCCCACACAAACTGAGGACATGCATCTTTACTATACAAAACAATCTAGACAATATTTTTGGTTACCAGATAGAAAATAAAAATAGAACAGAATGAAGAGTATGTTTATTGTCTTTACTGTAGATTGTGCATCCTAACAATCTCAGATATTTCCAGAGAATACTTCAAAAATTTCCTCTAAGACTAATGTACAATATGAACCCTCTAGCAAAAGCACTTAGATTCACTTGTAGAGTACATCAGAAAATTATCTTGCTGTAGTTTTTTGTGGTAGGAGGTATATAGTGGAATATACTCCTTCATGAAATATACAATACCTAACCAATTTTGATGATACTCAAGTGGACCAAGTAATTAGAAACTTTTGAAATTTTTTTTAGATATATGATTTTTAAGTTCAAGAAATAATTACATCTCCAAACATAGCATCTAGAGAAATTTTTTATTGAGTTTAAACTTCTAAACATCAATTCAGTAAATAAATTATTTTATTTGGTTTTCACATCACCACATGTATTGAGATAATTACATTCGCTGAATTCAAAAACTGATAATGCATTAAATATTATTTATTAACTGATGAAACCTTGCTGTTTTATTTTAGGAGGCCATGTAGTACTGGTTGGATTGATAAATTCCTTTGTTCATGCAGTCATGTACGTCTATTACCTCCTTACAGCTATTAATCCTGAATATAAAAAATCAATTTGGTGGAAAAAACATCTTACAGAGCTTCAAATGGTAAGAATGTTTATTAATTTATTTTTTATTATTAGTTATATAATTGAAATTAATGGAAAGACATTAATACGATTTTTTTTAATGAATGATTACTTTAATAGATATTATTTCTTTTTGATTATTTAAAAATCTTTTAGACTGATTCAAGAATCAAGAATTTCAGCTCTGATTTCACTAGTAACCCTATACGAACAGAGTAGACCATACTGACATACATGATTTGAGAATGATCAATACATACACATTTATTGGTCATTCTGGAATCGTTTGACATTCCATAGTTCTTTATAATCACAATTCAAATCCAACTGTGGTTACCAGTGGCCCTCAGTATCTAACCGGTCCCAGAAAATGTTCATCTTTAATTTATTCATCAAATCTTTGCTATTTATCTATCCACTAGATTATTGTTGGACATGTCGTCATCAACAATAGAAATCTTCCAAAAGAAAGCAACTCCATTTTGGAAATATTCCACAGAAAAAAAAATGTGCCCTTAATTTGTCATTGGATCAATTTAAATTTTCCAAACATGATTTCAAAGCACTTCTCAATTCTATTGAGATTCTATTGCTATTTATCTATCCACTAGGATTATTGTTAGACCTGTCGTCATCAACAATAGAAATCTTCCAAAAGGTAGCAAGTCCATTTTGGAAATATTCCACAGAAAAAAAAAAATGTGCCCTTACTTTGTCATTGGGTCAATTTAAATTTTCCAAACACGATTTCAAAGCACTTCTCAATTCGTTTTTTTTTTTTTTTGGATGAAAATGGGTCGACAGATTTCGATAAAATCAAACCTTTGGAATATTGATCATGAATTATTACTTAAAAATAAATTGACCTTTAGCACCTTTTGAAAATAATTTCTTCAATCCATCACTCTTTTTAACGCTTCCATACTTCCTGACACAAATTTGCTTTGATATTTTTTAACAACTTGTGGTGACCTGTTTCTTTGTCTGTTTGAGATCATTTCTACTTTATTCATTTTTGTGATCAATCTACTGGTATCCTCTCCAAATGCCCCAAATAGTTTATGTCTCCAGCTTTCCAACAACACTGTCAGTTCCAGATAGCAGCTTGGGTTTCCTTTATCAGGTCTGACAAGAGAATGGGGAAGGGCCACCAGGCCTGTAGCCCTGGTTGAGCAGGTTTTAATTTTCCAATTTGTTTTTTTTAACAAAACAAATATCATATATATTTTTGGTAATTCACACTACAGAGGAAGGATTTTTTATGTAGTTTCTTGAAGGCATGCAAACAAAATTTTGTCTTTCTACTGCGGTAAATTATTTATCATGTTTATCTTCATGTAAATGTTTAGGGACCGTCACATCTGAAACTAGGGATGAAAATAACAATATTCTGACTGATCCTGTAGAAATATTAAATAACCTTAAGAACCATTTTGACAATATTTTAAATACGGGAAATTGTAATCTGTGTTCTTCTTCTGAGTACCAGAGTACTGAACCGTTAATAGAAGGACCAAGTAAAGAGGAAGTTGAAGTAGCTATCGGAAACTTAAAATCTTATAAAGCAGTGGGAACCGATAACATTACTAGTGAACTAGTTAAGGAATGCGGGGAAGCTGGAGTTTCTAAAATTCATTTTTTGGTTAAAAAGATCTGGGAGAATGATAAATTACCTGAACAATGCAAAGAATCTATTCTTATTCCGATTCACAAAAAGGATGAGAGGACGGTCTTGTAATAACTTTAGAACTGGAAGAATTTCATTCCTTCCAGTATGTTATAAAATATTCACTTTAATCTTAACTAGTGGAATCACGGAATATGCCGAGGAAATTATTGGTGATTACCAATGCGGATTTATAAGGAGCTGTTTGTCTATTGATCAAATATTTTCTTTACGGCAAATATTGAAGAAAAAATTAGAGTACAACGGTGTTGTTCACCAGCTCCATATCGATTTCAAAAAGGCTCATGATTTTATTGACCTCCAGAAACTGTATGAAATTCTAATCGAGCAGGGGATTCCAAAAAAATTAGTAAATATAGTCAGGATGTGGTTGACGGAAACACTCAATAAAGTTAGAATCGGTAATAATTTATCTGAAAAGTTTGAGGTTCGTTTGGATTTAAAACAGAGCGATTTGATTCCCTTTCACATGTTCTATTCAATTTGGCATTAGAACATGCCACCAGGGAGATACTGCATACCGAAAAAGGGTTGGATATGGGTGGGACAACACCCGTGCTTGGCTATGCGGATGATCAGATCCTGTTAAGCGAAGACACGGAAACTATAAAACTAAATACAACAACGTTAATGAAAGCTGGTAAAGAACTTTTTTTATAATATTAAATAGGATAATTTAAAACAGTTCAACTCTATTTATATAAATTATCATTCATTGTAAAACACTAAAAACAGTTTAACATTTAAAATTACATAGAAAATAATGAGATATTAAGGTATTAATACTTTTTTTTTTAGGTTCAATTTATTATACTTGCTTGGCACAGTGCAATTGCAGTTCTGAATCCAAGTTGTAATTTCCCAAAAATTCTGATGGGTATATTCTTCCCTCAAAACTTCTTCATGCTGATAATGTTCTGGGACTTTTATAGAAAAAATTATTTATCAAAAAAAAATATTCAACCTGAAAAAGTACTTGAAAACAAAGTTGAAACGAATAATAACATGGAAAAGAAAGTGGTTTGAAATGTAAAAAGAAAACATATTCAATAAAGAAAATAATATGTGACTTTTTAAAACACATTAGGTTATTTATTGTGAAAATGTATAGTAATTAATTTATATCTTTTGAAAATAAAATGTATTATATTATTCATACGATTAAATAATATTATTGTAATATATATTTTAAAGAACTCTTTGATAGCTAAAGCTATATAATAGAAACTCATCAGAAACCTAGACTACTACTTAGCGAGTTCCTAAATTTTACATTAAGTTCAGAAATTTGTAACAAGGCTAATTTTTTCATCCAAGCAAAAATAATTCTACAATCATTATTGAGTCACAAATCATCAAAGGAAGATCATTACCTACTTCTCTTATAGGAAACAGAAAGATTGTCTACATAGTTCTTCTATTTATTTATAATTGTATCACGGACTATTTGTTGCTCATTGATAAGGAAGGCAGAGATTTTCATAATTCATGAATCGCTTCAATTATTTGTTAATTGATTTTTCTACCTCATTATTGTTACATACATTGATTTGAGTATACAAAAAATAAAAAATAAAAATCAAGAATATTTATAGTTGTAAACAAGTCTTTCAGCTTTAAGTATCTTTGATCAATATTGGACTGATGGATTTTTACCATATTTTACAAACCTATAAAGGGTTTAATGTTCAGTACTGTTTCATCATTAACAATCAAGATGATTTGGCCAGGATCAGGTATCCACTTTAGGCAGAATAGGCAACAAGAGTATCTTCTGACCTCAAGATCCAACCATAGCTGATAGAATAGAAAATAAATTGTTTACTACAGCAAACTTAGTCATATAAAATATAAAAATCTGTTTGTAATTTTTAGAAAATTACATCAATTTATATTATATATATATAGTTTTTTTTTTTTTTTTTATTTCTTCCTATCTTGCCTTTAGGCGACACAGATTCAGCAAAAAAAGTGAAATAAAAATATGCATATGCCATCTCTGCTAATAAATATGTAAAAAAAAAAAAAAAAAAAAAAAAATTGAAGGTGCTACTCAAACTAAGTTAAATATAGAAAATGGTATAATATGTACAGATTGTCAATGAAAACTCATGGACTTTTTCAGTTCATTTTGGAAAAATTACAGGTCATGAAAATAGTTGTACTAGAGTATGATATATAAATATAGGTATGAGGAATATTTATAAATATAGAACATTTCAAATCACCTTCAAAAAGAAAGAAAATGTTTCATAAGAAATAGTTTTATGAAGAATATATTATATTTAAAAAAATCACTTTTATTTTGGTGGGGAAATAGTTTATTGTAGATTCTTATAAAAAGAGAAGTTGGTCGGCACACAAAAAATTCAAGGTAAAGTACACAAAAATATATTTATTTTCTTTTAGATGTGTTTAAAAAAAAAAAAATTATTCTTATAGCTGATGACACTTTGTGTGATATTATGTAAAATTAGTTGTCAACCATTAGGTGCTTGCATATATTTTCTAAAAGGTGCACTTGACGATTTTTCGGAATAAATAGCTGATAGATACCTAATTATTTAAATATAATATCTGATCTAGAGTTATTAAACTACAGTAAACGTATTTAAGGTTATAATCATATTCATGAAATATTTCACTTCGTCTTTCACACAAATACAATGAAATAGTATTTTAAAGAATGTCATTAACTTGATTCGATGAATTTTAAATGCTTTTTTACCAAACTTAAAAAAAAAATTCAAGTTACCGTTTATTTAGTAAGAAAATTTCATTTAATTTCCTTGGAAACTTGTGATTTACGTTAAATAATGTTTGTTTTCAGAAATTATTATTTATATTTTTTTGTCGCTCTTCGTTATCTTCTACAACTTTATTTATTTGATATCATTTTTTTCTAAAATTCTCTGCTTTCCAATGATATATTATACGTATACTTTTAGACTATTATTTCCCGAGATTCATTTTCAACCTGGATAAGCATTTTTCTTCTTTTATCCAGTTTCCAATTGTCATATTTCTTCAAACTTCATATTTAGCCATTTTTTATAGTAACTGTCAATAAAAGAGAGATAATTTTTTTAAATAAACCATGTTAAAGGTACTTTAGAGGAAGACGTATATGAACATTGGGCATTTAAGCCCTGTAAAGTGATATCAATGGGGATAAGACCTAATTGATATTAAGGAACACTTAATTATACAATGATACACCGAGTTTAATCAAAATCGTTAGAACTGTTTTTGAGAAAAATATGTTTCACCGTTGATATAATGTGACAATTTCGGTTAGCCGATTTTAAGAAAAAAGTTGCTGTAACATCTAAGTCATATAACTATCTTAAATATATATGTCAGTTTCATATGCTCTTTCGTTTTTAAGCTAGACTGTTCACATACACACAGAGCATTTTGTGGGACTTGGTTATTTGGACTCAAGGACCTCAAAACGTGTATTTCTGTTGAAAACTCAGATTAAAAAATTTTCACGAACACAATAATTTCTCTAAATATATATTACACATATAGGTAATTGAAAGTAAAAAGTTAAATAATATTTACTTTAAAACAAAAAAATAATGGAAACATTGTTTTTTAAGAAAGTTTTTTCTTAAAGATTTATTTATTGGGCTGTAAAATAAATAAAATAATAGCATTTACTAATATTTATTCTATACAATCATTAATACATCTATCCAAGGAAACTGTTTAATAACTATAGGGTATAACAAACTTTTATCAGTTGAACAAAAAAACAGAATGAAAATAAAACTTAATGCAAATTTATATTAATCCTACATAAAAAAAAAAAAAAAAAACTCAAATGAATAATATAGAAAAAGTACAAAAAATATTTACATTTTTTGACGTGTGGTGTCAAATTTCAAATTAAACTAGTTTCAGGGAAATAAAAATTGCAGTCAATATCTATGGTGAATTAATAGGTGAAAGCAGAAAGAATTTGTACAAAACAAACAAAAAATTAACCATTTATGAATGACAATGATTTTTAAATATAGAAACAATATTAAAAAGACAATGGGAAAGTAGCATTGAATATTTAAAATTAAAAATTTTGTTCATAAACCCAATTATTTAAAAGTGGTTAATTCTTACTTAAAGAGTACATTTAATCATTTTACAAAAGTGAGATCAACATAATGGGTCAGGAATTCCCTTTCATTCTTTTATTCTTCCTTTCAGGATATTTTGATTTAATGTGTTCACATTTAAAGGTTGAATAATCTGTCAACTAAGAAATCTTTCAGTAGGAAGTAGGCAGTAAAAAAAAAAAAGAAAATGGTAATAATAAAACCAACAAAACTCTTATAACTAAATTTATCAAATATAACAATATGTCAACATCTCAGATAAAAGAAACATGTAAATAAAAAGCAGCTTTATAACTATACAAATTCAAACATTTTACATAACAACAAATATATCCAAGCTATAAATTCAACTTCGATCTCTAAGCCATAATTTTTCGGCCTAGACATATGATATTAGCGATATGTTAGTATTTACTTAATCTAGGAAAGCACTTATACAATCAAATTTGTTGGATAACACAAACATTCTTTAAAAGCTAACCAATATCTGACTTAATGAAACAGTTCCCAAATTAGGTCATCTCAAAAAATACAATAGCTGTTTACGAATAGGTATAAGTATTAGTTTATGTAAACTGAGTGTTTCTTGTTTTATAAGCTACAAATTTTTAAAATCCCTGAAGGTTATTTTGGGAAAATACATAGATGACAAAGGAAAAATATTCTTGTTTAATATTAATTACGCAATCCCTGAAAATTGATAAGCAATAAAAACCTATTTCTTTAGAAGACGTTTTCATTGATTCTTTTCAAAAATATAAGCAGAGGAATACTAGAGCGCAGGATTGGACAAAACATAGGGTTTGAAGAACTGTTACTAGATTGTACCTTCAACCCTCCCCTTAAAAAAAACGTAGCCTAACCTCTGCACCAATGTATCTATTAAACATTTTTTCAGGTATTAATTTACTAGTTGATTTACATAATTGTTTGTGTTGAAAATGCTGGGTAGAAGAATTTAAGTAGTTCTCAGATCACAATTTTCAAGACTGTTATCTTTATATTATTATAAACAACAAAAAAAGTAACCAATTGAATACATTTCACAAAATTTTAATTTCTCTTTCATTGCACATGAAAATTGCATTTATAACACAACTTTCGTAATAATATTTTTAATTAGAACATATTATTTTAAAGTCACAACCTGGAAGCAGCTATTTTCAATATAAAAATGAATAAACCTCTAACAAAAACATTATAGAAATAAATACATGTAACACTGATTTTAATCTTCCTTTGCGCCTCATAAAAACATACAAAGAAGCAGTAAACTTTTTACTAATCCCTGAAGCTTATATGTCAGTCATACTTTCACTGGTTAAAAATTGTTCATTTAAGAAAAATAATTATATTTTCAATGAAAATACATCAAGAGTAAACAATCAAAATGGATTAAAAGAAATTTTGTTTAGTCCCTTAAGTCACTTACTTTACAAACTCTAAGTTACATTCTTCAGTAATCACTTTTAACGTAATTCTCTGTTCAATGTACAATTATTTTTTCTTAAAATGTATGTTGTTTACTTATTCATATATCTACTCTGAAGTTTGATTATTACAATAACTAAGGAACTAAAGCTAAAGAAACATTACTCACTTTATCTTTTATTAATACCAACACTAAGCATTAGATAAATAGTAAAAAATAAGAATAAAAAATACAAATATATTATATTAATGTTATTTAATTGTCTAGTGAATAAAAATCGAATACTTGAATCAATTTTAATAATTATCAATTTTATTTAGCACTGGAATAAACTTGAACTGTTTTTTTTTAAATGGGTTAACTAGGAAAACTATTTTATCCGGTTGGATGGAGCATAATGAATTGGACTCCTATCTTACGAAGTTAATCAGCTAAGACAAGTTTCGATTAAGTAACCAACCGAATTATTATAATCTTAAAAGTTGTATCTAAGGACGCAATTGAAGGTGTTATTCTACACGGTTCTGGACTAAGAAAACATTGTATTTGATATTATAATTATTATGAGCATTTAAATGTTTAGGCCTTATGTGATCTTATATTCTTTTCTTATACATATATTTTTTATTTTAAACGATCAACAGGAAGCTAAGCCATGAAATTAACAATAAATCAAACATACTACCTATTTCTTGCTCATTACTAGGTGATTTGATACTTACTTTCAAACATTGCTGATTATAATAATAAGAATAGATATTCTTTGGTAAAAATGGACTTGTTTGTAGGTTAAAAAGAGAAAACATGACACGATTTCTAAAAAAATACAAAGTAAACCCAACCAAAATTTCTCCTTGAGGTGCAATGAAAAACTAATGGGATATACACAATTATAATAAAATATAAATGAACATTCTTATATTAAGAGGGAAAGAAACAGTAATGAGAGGTATATGATTTTGGCTATGTTATCCTTCAGTCTTTAACTTTTATTAAATTAGTAACTAAAAAAACAAAACGAAAAAGTACAATAGACTGAAAGAGGAAAGAAAAAGTCTTTAGTGACCAAGAAGGTTTCGGATGGTGTATACAAAGTTCTGAACTGAGATTCATTTCTCTCTCTTTCTCGTCAAGAGACTGAAGCCATAACACAACTGAATGTGGAACACTTGAAGGAAGGACTACAGCATACAGGCCCACACAGTAAGTAAGTGGTTTTAGAGGGTTTTTGTCCTCTCCAGAAGATCATCAACAAATTTCTAAAACAAAAAAGAATGGATTAGATAAATTTTCACCATTTTATTCTTTATATATGTATACATATAAACGTAATTATAAAAAATAAATTTATGTAAATGAATGAATAATAATTTCATACTTAAATAATATATTTAAATTATTTTTAGTTAATTACATGAAACTTAAATGTTATTTAAAATTAAGTTTAAAATATTTATGCATTTAATGTTTATTATAATAACTAAGTAGAATCAACTAAGATAATTTCATTTTAAAGATAGAACCGAGAATATTAAAATGAATAAAATATAAAATCAAAAGTATCCCAAAATAAGTGCCGTAAAAATTGACATTTTTTTTAATACATATTCAAAAATAAATTGGATTCTCTAAATGAAAATAAATTTAATTTAAACCGAAAAATATATTCCGAATATATATACTTAAAAAAAAAAAAGTTTACAAAATGAGATAAAATAAATAAAGGAAGAACTATTAGTTGTTCCTTGGAGGAAAGTGTCGCTTCCTGAACGTTTGGCACAAGTCAGAGAAGTTTGAATTGGTAAGTTAAATGCACTAGTCGGCCAAAAAAGACCTCAAGAAGTGTCATACGTTGCATCTTCAGAGGTTCAGAGTCTCTTAAGTGAAATAAAATTAAACTTGACAAGCAGAAAACAGATAAAAACTATTTCATGTCAACTGAAAATCTCATAACAGCCACAAGTATAGAGTAGTAATGAAATTTCAAATTGAATGTTTATTTAATAAACTAAGTGTGACAATAATTGGACTTATTTTCTATGTTGGATTTCACAGAGAAGAACATAAAATAAATTATGTTTTTGGCAAACACCTTTATTTAGTTTGTTTGTATAATAATAAAATATATAATAGTTAAAAGGAACAGAATAAAATATTAAATTTAATTACATACCTTAACATCAAGAGGTGACTTTTTGGCGTCACAAAGGATTTTCTATAAAAGGACAAACAATTATTTCAGAGCTATGCTACAAAGAATTATAAAAAATGCGGTCATAAGTCACACACATAATTTGTGAAAATTATATTTATTAGTTGACTCGGTTTCAATCTAATTTGTAAGAATTCATCATGGCTGTCCATTAATGTCAGAGGAACTGAGATTGTGCGACTTACGACTGCATAAACTGACTAACTTCTACTTAAACTAAAGCTAGGGTCAATAATTTTCATATCAATATATTTATAGATTTTAATTTACTTTCTTCAAATGTAGGACTTATTTTGTAATTAATTGTGAAGTAAAATATAGGAATTATTTGTTATATAAATTAGGCCATTATTCACCAACATTTTATTTATTAGCTATTTTATTACGATGTTTCGACCATCACTAGGGCCATTTTCAAGTCTTATTGAGTCCTCCATTAGATATTCATTATTAATATCATATTAATTTTACAGAGAAAAATTAATACAATATTAATAATGAATATCTGATGGAGGACTCAATAAGACTTGAAAATGGCCTCAGTGATGGTCGAAATGTAATAAAATAGCTAATAAATAAAATGTTGGTGAATAATGGCCTAATTTATATAACAAATAAAACCTTAAGACACCAAGTCTAGGAATAACGAACAGAAGAAAAATATAGGAATATAAAACTGAAAAAAATTATAAGTTACTTCAAGTTTTGAATATTCAAAATTTTCAATGCCAATTTGAAACATTTAATAGATTGCAATATAAAATCAGTGAGCTCTCATTACTTGAAGAGGATAAGACCTATATTATTTGATTTTTCCAACACCATTTTAATTAAGGAAAGATAAATAAAATAATAATAAAATATGTCTATGATAGCTACCTGTAAATGCCTTCTTCTCTGATTATCATCATCCATATCAAGTAATTCATCAATGTCAACTTCAACTTCTGGAGTAGTTTTATCCTAGAAATAAAAGGTATATTAGAATATAAATAATAGAATTATATTATAAAAATACATCAATAAATACTATTTAGACAAAAAACCCATGAAAATAACATATTAAGTATTTTTTTTTTTCACAGAAAAATAAAAGGAAGAACTTATGTAAGTAGATAAATGAGGATTTCGTAGCAAACACATTTTAAAATATTATTTAATTCGCAAATACCTGAGAATTAGGTAGAAATCTCCTTATTCTAAAAAAGTTAGTGAAAATAAATATAACTAATTCTTTTTGATTAACTTTGGCAAATAGACTTAATTGAATTCTAGTTGACAAAGTTGATCAAATGGAATAGGTAAAAAGATTTTCCAGAAAACTCAGAATACATAAATTATTCATTAATTTTAATGATAAAAGCACACACTTGATCAAAACAATCCTACTTTAGTTCTTTTGAGTTCTACACTAATGTTTCAGCCATTGGGCTATTTTTTGAAATGTAAGTTTGAATACGTATATTTATTCATTAATTTTTTTAAAATTATGAAGTGAACATAGTCTTTCCTCACTATAATCATTGTTCATATTGAGACAAAAATAAACAAAAAGATTTTGAAAACATTAACATAAAAAAACTTATAATTTGTATATGAACATGAATGTCAACACTTAGCTACTATAGGTATTTCTCGGGATTTACAGTATGCTTGAAGTGATCTTGAATCCAGCAGCCTTCTTGGAGCAGTGACTCGGAAGTAGTACTCCATTAAGTAACAATAATGCTAAGGCACTTAATTATAATCGCGTAATATGTGATTTTTTAAAATTTAAACATATAAAGAATTAATTTAAATTTACTCAATACACAATTTTTTTAATCAACCACATAATTCATTGACATCATAGCGAATTTTAGCTTTGGTATTAGAAATTTACAATATAATTTAAAGTGATTTTATGTAGAAGAAAAATAACAGGCAATTACAAAATATCTAAAGATTCTATGTAAGCAGTCAAACTTTCTTGCTGTATCGTAAAATAAAAGGCTAATAAAATTGTAAATCAATCATCTGATAAATCTATTTGGTTCGTCTTTGTTGCTAGTTAAAATGAATATAAATATGATGCAAGATAATCATTTTTGGGATCTCCATATAATATCAAAGAAAAGTAAATTTCATGAACATCACGGTCCGTTATTAATTATAAATTTTTAAAACACATATATCTCACATAGGTATTGATAACCTCATGAACGTCACAGCTGTTATAATAATATTTCATCAATCTGAAAATGCGGAAAAATAATTTATTTTGGCCCTAAAGGTCAAACTTTTATCTCAATTTGATGCTGGACTTCTAAACGGAATTATTGAATGATGTGTTTAAAAAAACAACAAAAAATAGTAAAATTTTGATCATAAATGATAAAAAACATGTCCTGATCATTATTTTTGAACAAAATATTTACAATTTACAACAACAATAATTAATGAGTAATACTTTTTTAAATTCTGAAATATAATTTTTTTTTGTATTCCTTATAATATATATTTTGAGTCTGGAATAGTAGGTGGAGAATATTGTTGGCAATTATTGGCAACAGAATATCTCTATTTCCGAAATTCATTAGAAATTTAATATTAAAAAAAGTATTCTAATTATTTAAATTAAGCATGATTTTTTGATAATTTATTAAAAAGTATGATTTTTATTTTTTGATCAAGATTTTTTTCATCCCAATTTAATCGTTATTATTTATGTAAAACTATACCACTCAGTGAGTGATCATTATTTTTAATCGAATCAATAAACATCAAAGATCGATTTAAATTTTTAAATCAAAAATCAAATATAATAACAATTACATGAGTTTGAGGAAAAATACTTATTGATTTAAAACCATGTCTACAACTCATGAACGTCACTTAGTAAAAGTAAGAAAAGATCGTTTAAATATCCGGCATAATTGATGCCTAGGATGGTCCTAGAAGAGACGTTGCAGGAGATAAAAATTTAATTTGACACATTAAATTTTAGCACGATTAACTACTAAGATAAATTTATATATACAATAATGTAATATATTTTACAGTTGCTACATATATTTTAAAATGGCCAAAGTTATGAAGTTCAAGAATTCCAGAAAATGTTTTAGTATCAATGCTTTTATCATTATCAATACGGCACGATAACACATGGAATATATCACAGTTACACCATTCACAGATAAGTACTCACTATGAGAGGTCTCCTTGACTTGGAAAACGTGAGGCGGCCGATAAATGCATTACCGTTACCAAACACCCGATTACAGAACTTCTTACACCGAACTTCCATTACTAAACGATTCCAGGCACAAAATGGCCCGATCTAGTAAGGGAATAGTGTTTTAAAAATGTAGAGTGTAAATATAAACAGTCTGTTATAGTTCTAGGGGCGATGACATCGATGATGGCAAATATAGATACAGATGGGAGAGATAAAACACACGCAATACTCAGAGAACAGAGGTAATAAATCAAAATTTAAAAACAAATTATAAATAAACAAATATTTTAATTTAAAAGATCTGGTGTGTAAGAAAAGTATTTATATCTTTACATATGTCCATCAAGAAACAAAAAAAAAAAAAAAAAAAAATTGAATTAGATTTATTTGCTGAAAATTGATCAAAGAAAAGATTTGAGTACGATTTATTTGATAAACTAAAGCAATGTAAACCGGCTTAAGATAGATCAGTGTAAAAATTTCAATACCCTCTATATTGCTGATCAAACATTTTTTACCATAGATTAATTTTGCCAAACAATAATTTCTGTTAAAAGTAGAGGAAATAGTGAACTAGTGTGATGCGGGCAGCAGATGTTCTTACTTTCACTTAGTTATCTTTTTTCTCTAATTCACTCCTTTCTGACACCAAGATATGAACCCGTAATCTTACATTGGAAATTGAACAGCTGCAACTTCGTTAATAGTTGTCCGAAATGAACGATTTTTATACAGTTTTGTAGGGAATTTAATTACCTTTCAAAAGTTTTATTATAAATTTTACCATAGAATATATACCCCAAAACATTTTTCTTTTCTTTGTAACTTTTTTCCTGAATTTAGTCCATATACTAAAATTGAAAGAAAAATTATTAGAACATTATAGGAAAGTTTCCATCAAAATCGTTAGAGCAGTTTTCGCGCTACAGTTTCTAGAAAAACGTGTTTTTCATTTATTGCGCATCAGCTATTGCGCATGGAGCATCCAATTTGTGTCAAAGGCATTAGTAGTTAAAACCCTACAAAATATAGAAAGAAGCAACAAAATTTGTTCACAAGTTCCCGAGAAAATCTTGGCACAGACAGACGAATGGCTAAAATGTGTTTTTCGGACTCAGGGGACTCTGAAACGTATAGATCCATCGAAAATCATATATCGGAAATTTGACGCGATCGCAATACTTTCCTTACCTAGTATAGGTCGGAAAGTAAAAAACACCAGACTACAGAAATCGGGAAATTCTATCCGCCCTAAGAAAATGTAATTCAATATCTACTTAACCATCTTGGTAGATTGATAGGGAATTTGATATATCCGAATATTTAAACTTGCCGTAATAATCTGGTGTTTTCACTGCACATTAAGGATCCAGGCAAATAGATTTCGTCCCATGTATTGATACATGTAAACTTCCGAGTCTAGAGTTTCGATCGAGGTGTGATAGTATACCGACTACTACAGCAAGTAATAATATTAAATATAAGTCAATTTCTCTATCAATCTAAAAAGATGATTAAATAGATAAGGAAGTATATTCCCGTAAGGCGGATACAATTTCCCAATTTTTGTATTAGGTTTTAAAAAAAAAATGTATTTTATTTTATTGAAATTTACAACTGTATTACATGGAAAATACAACAAGTAAATGTGACATTGGTAACATTACATGTACAACATGAAGAGAAACTACCCATTGGTAGAACTCAAATTAAAGTTCTATATTAGAGGGTCCCAAGGCCATCTTCTTTTCAGACGCCTCGGAGGATTATCAGGGATCGAGGAGGAAGCAAGGTTTGAAACGAGAGGATTCGGATGGTTCTGCAGTTTGTTATGGAAGGATAGGTATCTGGATTGGGCCAAATCGGAAACATATGGAACATTAAGGTCTTTATGGATGATTTTATTTGTGACAAAATAAGGAGCGTTGAGGATTTTGGATTGTAAGGATTGAATAAGAGAGGAATTCGATGATTTAGTAGAGCCCTAAAGCTCAATTCCGTAAGTCCAAATAGGACTTATTTTTGTCATATATATGAGTCGTTTGTAATTGATTGTGAGCTTAGAGCGTTTGTCTAGTAAGTGTTGCAGTAGTCGAAAACGTCGGGCGGTTTCTACAAGTTTCAATCTGGTATGGTTTTTTTTTTTAATTAAATTATTTTTTTATTTTAACATTTCTAATTTTTAAAATATTAAAAATTTATATTCATATCATTCTATCATTTGAAATCAATCAATAATTCATATACATAAATTATAATAGTTTGCATCACAGCAGTGAAACTTAAAAATCGTTCATTTCATCAAAAAATTATGACTTATCTTTCAGTGGATTGATTAAACACAATTTAAACAGCGGTTTGACAGAATTTTCAACTCGAATTTCCTCAAAACACTTATAGGATCTCAGAGAATAATTTAAGAAATCAAACTTAAAAATTGCTCCTACCTTTGGCTCAAAACAGCGTTACAAAGATTTTTTCAAACTGATTAAACACATTTTATTTAATCACGATTCAGTATTTTCAGCTCAAATTGTTTAAAAATACTCAGCGGATCTCACAAAATAATTTCAGCAATCAAAATTAAAAATAGATCCGGCCGTTAGCTCAAAATAGCGTTACGTAGCTTTTAGCGGACGACCAAAACGCATAACCCTCATGTCACTTCGCTTACATTTAGTAACAGGTAAAACTGATAAATATTGAAATATACTAGTATTTTTGTTTAAAAAAAAGTATCGTCTCC